AAACCATGCTGTACGTGACTATCTAGGCTTTAAGACATAAGAGTAAACTCCCCATCGATGGCAAGCTATTATCTAGCCTTTTGCAAATTTTTTTTATACCAAAAAAGTAAAATATTTTATAAATTGTAAATTAATAATATTTTAAAAACCATTTATAAGGAATAATAATCTTAATACATAAAAATCCCGTGATAAAAATGACCGTTGACGTTAATCTCCGGAATATTTTTCACCGCATAATTACATTTTGGTTTGCCAAAGGTTGGAATAGAATGCTATATAATATAACATTAAGTCCGCCTTTTGTACAAAACATTTTTTTGTAATGAATATTTGACCTAAATAAAGAATAAATAAATAAACTATGCAACAGAATTTAATATAATTTTGTAAATGCATATTAATACAGAAATATTATTGCAATGTACTCTGACATACTTAATGTTATCATCATTTCAGCCATAACTCGTCCACTGCTGGACATAATCCTCCCCCATAGACTGTCATAAAGAACGGTCCTGAGCCACCTGCATCCACTGACTTACTCCATCTAGTGGGGGGTCGTCCTTCACTGCGTTTGCCCGTACACGGGTCGCTACTCAAGAACCTTTCTTCCACATCCGTTATCGGTTCTTCGAGCTATGTGACCGGCCCATTGCCACTTCAGCTTGCTTATCCTTCGGCTCAATGCAAGATTTCAGACAAATAGAAAAACAATTTAAAAAAAGTGAGAATTTTTAGTTTTTGTACTTACGATTAAATATCTTTGAGAAGACCTCTCTAAATCTCATCGCTTTACAGAACAGTGTAATATCAGCCTACGCTATGTTCCAACACCGTACATTTTACATATAAGTACATTCCCTGTATGAAACACACAAATGTGACGACAAACATATTTTCACTCCTATTTTTAATAGGTTTACGTTCAAAATCATATAAACACTGCTCTCTAACTTTCAGTTTTACTGATGCATAACTGTTCAGTTGTTGGTACATGCTACTTATCTTCTGAATGCAGTGTATTCAATTCTGGAGGGTGCTCTTTTTATTGTACGACTCGTGGACAATCGGTAATAGGATCGGTTCTAAGCGCGGACTTTCAATTTTTCGTGCACACAATAAACGTTCGTTGATTGAATATATTCCGGTCGAATAATAAATGTTCATAGAGCTCAAAACGGCATGCAACAAACTGTCATCCCTATTTTATTGTAAAAGATATGACGGAAAAGCGTAACAATCAACTCCAGCGATATTATTCATGAAACTCGACAACTTTTTCCAGAGAACACAAATTGAATTATGAAAAAGATTTATTAATCTTTCATATCAAATCGATCACGTAACCACGCGGTTAACATGAATTTTTTTAGTACGTTTGTTTCGTTGTGGAACAGGCTAAGGTCGGAGACCATGCTGCCTAGTCTTCAATATAATATTTTGTCTGGAATTTTAAAAGAATGCGGTTAACATGAAGAATATTTTTAGGATTTTTTTTTTAATGGCAAAGGCCTGATGTTATCCACTACGCAACCATCAAACAAGAAACGAGACGGGATATTATTAAACAGAAAAAAAGTTGTTCAATTTTTTTTTTCAACAAACTTAAAAAAAGATGGAGGTACTCAATTCGGTTGTGTTTCCTTTTCTTTGTTGCCTCAGAATTCCGTCAAAAAAGGACGATATCAAAAAAAGGATATACTTACAGATCTCATATAAACTCTGTCAAAATCGGTGCATTAGTTTGATTTTATATCATGATTGAAGTCGATTATATTTTTTTTTTAACAAAATTAACTTGTGTAATGGAAAAAAATATAACGATACTCGTATTATGTTTTAATCATAGATGTAGTATAACGTACTATGTACTGACAGACTGACAATGCAATCACAAACACGAGACAAGAAAGAGATTACACTCGTCGTTTATTTACCTGATTTATGTTATATACACAGCTCACATAATTGTAACAAACTACATTCACTTAAAACTAATTCTACTTCGAAACATAAAAATAATTTAAAATTATTTTGTTCGTTCTCCCGCCAAGTCAACTTATATTGGGATACACTCGTATATTGCGAGCATATATTATATTGTATAAATTATTATCCTATTGTCTATCTCGCTCTAACATATGGGTTATTATATTTTCTCTCTTTTACATTGCCAATCTATATACTAAGATTTTAATGAAGTACAATAGTGGGAAACTAGTGGAGAGATAAACCGATTAAAATATATGTAAATGTTTGTCAAAAAAATGTAGTCAAACCATTTGACCTATCGTGGCAAATTTATTATATTGCTAGCAATAAAGACTAGTTATTACTGATATTCCTTTCTCTTAAAGATTTTTTTTCGATTAACACCTATCAGATTTATGTGGTGACGTAGTCGAAACCAAGAAAAAATCTAGTTATTATAAAAAGAAAGAGGAGCCACGTAAACGAACATTAAAAACGATATAAACCTCTCTAATAACCCAGAGTACAACAAAGAGAGATTAGGAAGCGAGCACTTAAGAGTTTTCATTAAATTTTTCATGTCCCCATCATACATTTCTTTACAACAACAAATAAGAGGCTTACGAGAGGTTTTATATTATTTTCTCTACATAATGAGTGACATGCATCGTTGAAAATGTGAAATAGAGACTCTTTTACGATAAATAAAGGTGGTTTGTATTATATTCTTATAGTGAGTATTGATGCATAGATTAAAAAATAAAAAATAGTTTTTGATCATAGACTATGGTACTTAATTCTCTTTCTATATTTTTGATGCTTCACTACAGAAAAGTAAGATTCTGGTAAGCATAGATTAAGAATGATTCTAACAATGCCCAAATCTAAACATAAATATTATAAAATACTTTGCCAATGAAAAGGAAATTTCCAATCAGACTAGGCTGTATGAGCTCGTTCCCTTCGCCTATTCTTTAACCAAAAGAATAAATAAGAAATAGAAAAAAAAAGAATTATTAAGTTTAATAAATAAGAAATATTTAAGCGTTAACTCGTGGTCTGTTTTATTAAAGATATATATATAAAAAGATTTAATACTTTAACCAAAAGAGTAAATAAGTAAAATAAAACAAACCCCGTAGAAAGAGAATATCCAGACTATTCTAAATTGCATAAAAAAACATTTTTTTTTTATGCAACTTAGAATGGCAAAGTAGTTGACTGCCTACCTGATGAAAAATGGTAGCCGTCACCTATAGACATGAGCAGTACCTTAGACATAACAGAGTACACTGTTTCGCCCATGATACCTCCCATGCGTTGCCATTCCTGAGGACTCAGGTATTATTTCTCTGTACCCTGTAAGTTAACAGCCATATCCCACTCTTCAAACCGAAACAGCCATGCAAAGACAATTGCTTCACGGTACAAACACGAATAGGACACCAAGCAAACGACTTTTGTACAAAGTATCCCTTTTACCGCGTTTAACATAAATTGACGATAGTACCTAACTGCGATACTATTTCCATGGAGTTTTATATATTTCACGTTCGTTTTTTTTTTTTTAATTTAATGACGATGCCTAATAATGCTTGATGATAATAATTTTTATTCTTTATCTAAAGTGTCAAGGACAAAGGCAAAACATCTAACAATTAAAACGAATTTCTAAAGTTTGATTATTTTGTGATTTCACGCGTGAAGCATTCTTTGAGAGTTGTTACTCGATTATAATTAGAAATTCTGGCCAGCGTAAAACAAGTTTTCAACTTATTTATATCCTTAGCCAATGTTTTGTATTATTTTTCGCGTAAATGTAACCAATTGTTTTTAGTTTAATTATTGACCTACCTTTAAAATAAGAGGTATTTGTAAATTATACGAATCGATTATATTTTAAACGACTTCAAATACAAAGAAAAATTCAGTATTTTGACATGCACGTTACTTTGTATCTTCATTATTCTCAACTGATTTTGATAATGTTTTTTTTTTTTTCTAGATAGCAATAACTTATGTGTCGATTCTATATTAATTTTTTCTTTGTTAAAAAATAGCATTTTTTTTAAATATAGTTTTATATTATTTATATTACTGTTTCTACTATTATTATTAATCCCCCGACAAAATTTTTATGAAACCAACACAGAAATAAACCTTAATAAAATAAAATCGTTATAAAATTAACAAATGTACCTACTAACATACACAAAAAAATTTATTAAAAATTGTGTCCCACAAAAAAACCGAATACAATTGTGACAAAATCATTCATTTTAATTTAAAAACTAAAGTACTGAACGGATTTTGGTAAAATATCTATAGGACCAAACTGTAAGTATAAGTCCTTACAGATAAAAAAATAATAATGTCAAATCAGTTTAGAACTGACAGAGTTGAGGTAACCAACATAAAAAGATACGAATTGATAACTACCTTCATTTCGAAGTCGGTTAATAAACAAACCAAGCACCTTCGCTTTTGATTTCACGTAAAAATACATCCTTTATTTGGTACGTAAATAATTAAACAAGACAAAAAATAACAAAACTCACCAAGTCAGTCAATTCGCTTAATTGTGAATAGACCCAGCGTCATTTATATCGCTAAATGGGCTCGCAACAAAGTAGCAACAAATGCCTCTTAAAAAAAATATCCCCGTCTGTACAGGAAATCCCTAAAGCTGCACTGAGGGATACCGTAAGCCCTCGCAAGATGCCTCCTTCCTTCGGAAACGATGAAACTACTCGACCCCTACTATTTGTTTTCGTCCCAATATTGTCTCTTGTTGTTAGATAATCTATCTAGAAGTCTTGTTTTTTTTAAATGAATGAAAATGAAATACTAACCTCGCCTGCGCTATCGGTATACATTGGCGAGATACTAGTGAAGGATGATAGGTGAGGACGAAGCAGGTCAGGTGGCCATTGTGACGAATTTAACAATTATTAACCAAGTATAGATCGATAAGATATGGGTGATTCTTATTCTTACGTTTTTTTGTGTGAGTTGTAAGAAATTAATATATTTTTTAGCAAAATCAGTAAACTGTATATTAATTTACTTAGCAAACTACTTCTAGTATCATATCTTAATATAATTTTTGCCATGAAATCATTAGAAAGATATTAAAAAAAAATCCAAAGTCCAAAATGTCACGGACCGTGTAGTGTGAGATTGCCGGATTTGGAAATGAAATATTTTTTTCTAAAGAAATGTCATGTTAGTTTGCGAAAAACTACAGCAATTATGCAAGACTAACCTTTGTTCTATAAAACAGTTTAAAAAATATATTAATAATAATGACTATTTATGATTTTGAACAACATAAAGTTTGTGACGAGTTTTTGTGTCACGACCATGTACGATACTATAAAAATGGGGTACTCGGTAGAAAAGCATCTTTGATATTGGCAACTCTTTCTAAGTTCTTTTAGAACGGTAACACTGTCTTCTTATCAGATTTGCAAATGGCTGAATGTAAGATGTGTTACGCAAAATATTTTTTTTCATTTATTTGAAAAAAGGGACAACCTTAACACGTCATCGCCGAGTACGAGTTTTGAACGTAATTACCAGTGTCATGCTATTGTTTGAAACATAATATGTACCTCATACAGTGTAGTTTAAGATAATTACTTAAGATTTGCAAAACCATGGCTAGTTTTTAGGTTATATCGAACACGTTTCAAATTGTCACGGCCATGGTATGAAAAAAATGTCACCGCCACGGACTTTTTGAGTACATGGTCGTGACACATATAATGCGTGGTCGTGACATTCCATTTCATTTGAATAATTTATTGGCTTTTGTTGTTATACTAAATTATTTTGTTTAATTTTTTTTTATTTATTTATGCTTTATTGACCACATTACAAAAAAAAAATGTCTGGTACAAAAGGCGGACTTAATTAATATGCACTTCTTAGAAATTTCCTTTTACTAGGTATACTGATTTTTCACTATTCTGATTCTCTAGATGCCACGAAAGAAGAATAGCAATGCCACGACAGAAGCAAGAAAAAAAGGCGTGAATATGAAAAGAGGAGACGTGCCAAAATAAAAGCAGATCCCGTTAAATACGAGGAAGCAAAAGAAAAAGAACGAGCATGGCATCAGCGATGAAAGGAGCAAAAGAAAATATTATCAATAAAAGATTTATCACGTCGTGATCAGAAGGCACAACGAGAAAAATGGTGTAAACGTACTAGAAAAAGTCGAGCATTAAAAAAATGCAGAGAACGCGAGATGCAACTAATCAGGGAGAATACTCCTCCGTCTGATTCGGAAATTAATGAAGCCCTGGCGCCAGATCCGGACGTCTCTTCACTAGTAAGACTGCGCGATACTACACCGGAGGTTAGGAGAGATGATACACCTACCACATCACAACGAGGTGAAACTCCATCCTCCATCAGTCCTCGAGGCAGCGTAATGAGTACACAAAGGCGCCAAGCGTTAAAAGAACACAAACAACGCAGGAAACTAACTGATGTTATAATTATGAATCAAAAAGCAAAAATAAAAGTACAGCAGAAAGCAATATATACTCTTCAAGTTAAAATGAACAGGCTGATAAAGAAGGTTTCTCAAATACCGATAGAAGCCACGAAAAGGCAAAGAGTTTTAAAAGATATTTGATGTAAGACGGATTATTCAATGGTTCTACGTCTGAGGTCGCCAAATAATCGAACGTTTGCCTGGCGGTGTGCGACGAAGCATTGTCGTGGTGAAGAAGGATCCTATTTCGAGGTCGTTTCCCACGCACTTTTTCCAAAACACGTGGCAAACAATTGTTACTGTACCACTCTGCAGTAACTGTTTTTCGATCCTCTAAAACAATTGTCGCGTAATGACCTGTCCTTCCAGCGAACGAGCCCCCATCTTTTTTCTCACGCTTCGACCTCTCTTCACTTTAGTTGACAACTCCTCGGAAGGAAACACTGAGCTGACTGTCTTTTATTTTCGGGATCATAACAGTAAATCCAGCTTTCGTCTCCCGTAACTATGTCAAACACAGAATTTGAGTCATCTCCGTTAAATCTTTCATGTATTTCACGGCACCAATCAACACGACGCAGTTTTAGAGCCTCGGTCAAATTATGAGGTATCCACCGGGCACAAAGCTTCCTGACCGCCAAATGTTCATGGAGGATTTTGTGCACTTGACTTATACCAATCCCTAGGTTTGCCCGGATCTGCTGATAGATCACTCTTTTGTCAGTCTCTATCATACGCCGCACAACACTGATGTAATCTTCAGTCGTCGCCGTAGAAGGCCTTCCCTTCACGCACATCATCGGTGAGATTAATGCGACCACGTTTAAACTTATTAAACCAGTTGTAAACGCCACTGTTTAGAGTATTACTTTTTATGTAAATGTACGATTTTACTTCTTTGGAAAAAAAAAATCAATCCTTTAATTTTGTTGGGTTTAAATTTTCTTTTCTCAGATATTTAATGATATTGTGTTATTTTTTTTAGAAGTTTTATTTCCTTTCTAGATTGAAGTTGTGTTATAATATTTACGAGAGGATAAAAATGAGTCCAGCTTTGATACTCAGTTATTATGTTTAATATTTACTAATTATAGGTACTATGTGATATCAAAACAATGTTACCTGTGACTAGATAGTTCTAAGAATAAAAGGCTGATTTGTTGTATTAGTAGGTAGAATGATTACCTGATGGTATTTTTGCCGGGATCTTATTTGTGATTTAATTATTTGATGTTTAAAAAGAAGTATACTAAATAAATACTGTTGATTAAACCAATTCAGTGTTTTATTCATTGCTCAATCACTTTAAACTAAGATGACACAAATTTAATAACTTTAATATGAACAATTACAGTGCAAAATGTGAAACTGCCATATCCATATCATACAGTGTCACAGCCACGTTTAGTAATGTCACGACCGAGGCACAGCCGTGTTTATGTACCAATTTTTTTTACCTTTCCTGAGGGCATTAAGCTTGTTCATATGCACCAAAAATATGCTTTTAGTATATACTTTTGATATACATCGCAATATGTCGTAAAAAAAAACTTTCATTTTTTTGGGTTATCTGAAAACTATATAAGAATCACCCATATATTCCTAGCATCGTTAGTAAAGGGGGATTCATTATGAACAATCCCCCCCTCCCCCCTCCTTCTATCTAGCAGTCTAGTTTGTAGTTTGTTACGTACGCAATACTAATGAAGAGCATTGCTACCAACACGTGCCAATGGATTTGCGTACGGTTTTAGTGTCCACAATTAATATACTGCTCATTCGATGAAAAACTGCTATTTTAATTATACTAAAATCTTAAATATACAGTGAGTGTAGAAAGTATTCGTACACCTAGGGTTGTAATAAAAAAAATACGAATTTGATAGACTTTCTTTTATTTATCTAATTTAAATCAATACTATTAAATATTTTAACATTCCCGCACTTTGTTTATGATAATTTTTGTTTTTTAATAAAAAAAATTATACAACATAAAAATATTTTTACGTTAACTAAGCAAATAATGGCAAACAAAAAGTATTCGTAGATTCATTCTTTTTTAAATGAAATTCTGTATAAATCATTTATTCAATCGAATTTTTCATATGCCTACAATGCCAAGGTGACAAGTATAGACATGTTTAGTTACAAAAATGGGTCGTAAAGCAAAAGAAACGAGTGCAAGCTTGTAATATTTTTGCCTATTTACACCCCCGTCATGGCATTATGCTGAGCTATATTGAGATGTATTTGATAATAAACATTTTATCACCAAAATCGCTAGTATTATATATTTATGTATATAAATATATAATACTAGTACTACATAAATAGTATATACTCATAAAACACACGTGTGTTATCAAATAAACAAATTCCTTTTTTTTCATGCTTTCTTTTTCACTTTACTTTTTAATAAATATAAATGTAAAGTTCATGAAGTAGAAAAAAGTTAGACATATGATTTTAGTTTAAAACTCGATTACTCGATCCAATATTACATTCTATTTATAATATAAATATGAAAACTTGTAAAGACTAAATTATTGTATTATACTCAACGTCAGAACAGATTGAGTGAAAAGTACACAGTTATACATTTTAAGTCACAAGATACTGGAACTGATTTTAGTGCATCATTTCTCTAAACCTATCTTTAACATTAAAATTCCAAATTAATATCAAAATCTTTATTCTAAGAACAGTGGCGGATTTTTAAGATTGCCGTCAGCAGGCTTTTTAAAACCCTCCCTTATCGATCTCTATATAACCTCCATTCTCTAGTTTACCAATAATATTAATTATATTTGTTTTATTAATGAAATTGTAACTTCATGGTTACAAAAAAATGCCCCAAATTTACCGCCCCTAAAATCCATTATTGTCCAAGGAGGTGCATGAAATGAATTTCAAATAGATTTAAGTCAATATTACTGCAAATTTATGGTAGTCCATGATACAATAATTTCGGGAAAGTACCAAACTATAAACTATTAAGTTAAAGATAGGTTTAGAGCCATGGCGCCTCAGAATCATCCCCACATTCTATCCTTAATTACGTATAATTATATAAGGAGTTTAAATAAACTTATATAATAAATCTAAATAAAATATAAAAAATATAATTTTAAATTAAATATTTTACTCCGTCTACGCGTAATATATTCACATCCTTACTTACAAATGTTTTTGCCACTGGAACCATTAGTTGGGGTCATGTCAAAACCAGAAGGAGCCTAATTGCCCAGCTAAATATGTGTACATACATACACGGTCAGACGACGAACATGTGGTGACGGGAATATGACTTCTTTTGATGTAAAGGGGCAACAACCCGGCTCTTTTATTTTGCCACAACTTCGAGGGGAAGCTTAAATGTTTCAGGCTGCATTTATAGAAAATTCTTTTTCCTACATGTATTTAACTGTCGAGTATTATATATTGTTATATATTTTAAAATACATACGTTTTATATATGTATATTAGCATATTTTAGAAAGTTCAATTAAAATACAATTTTTTTTACTTGGCAAAATAATAATGACGTCATACGTACTGAACAATGTTTCAAGTTTGATTGAATTTTGTATGAGTTTGGACGTAAAAACGAAACTGAAATACTCTGTGGTTAACTTAATAATAATATTTTTTACAGATAACAATCACAATGACGATAGGTGATGAAGAAATTGAGTCACTTAGAAAATTGTGATGAATTTACCGCGAATTTACGATAATTGTTACAATCATCGTAAATTCACGATTGGAGAGACAGCATAGAGGATTTTCAGGGTATTTTACAATGGAGTTGCTTATCTCCATTACTAACAATTCCTCCGCTCCGCCTCCCCCTCCCCCTCATCCCATTCTGTCTGATTAATACAATCTAAATGTCTAAATGATTGGAGTTACAAGTTTGAAATTTTAAACGGAGATTCTTTATGTGATATAGACATCGAATATAGGAGAGAGTATTAAAGATAACAAATCCCCGAAAAAGCCGCAAATATCAGTCAGCAACTCCATTGTTTTATTGAAATATTCAACCCTATTTCACGGTCGCTTAGCTCCTTGAAAAAGGAAACGCAATGAAGTTCTACAAATGCATATAGCTCTATAGGCCAAATGGGAAGGAACGCATGATAACAATATGGAATTTGAAAAGGCGTAACTAAGGCTTACAGTGTCATGCCTGCGTAAGTAAGGCACAGGGACGGACTTAGTGGCAACAGTATTTTAAATGCCAGTTTTGTAGAAAAAGAAATAAACTCGTACTTAATATGGTTAAATTTTGCTATAGTTAAAAAAAAGAAATTCCTAATTCGATCGCTTAGCTCTTTGAAAAAGGATACACATTGATCTTCTACAAATGCATATGGCTCTATAAGTCAAATGGGATGAAAATCATTATAATAATATATTATTTGAAAAGGCATAACTAAGGCTTACAGTGTCATGCCTGCGTAAGTAAGGCACAGGGACGAACTAAGCGGCAACAGTATTTTAAGTGCCGGTTTTGTAAAAAAAAAAATATATAATCATATAATACGGTTCAATATTTCTGTCATAAAAAAAGGAATTTCCAATTCAATTGTATTTTTTTTATATTGGTTTATGGCATGAAATGACACCACGTGATATGAAATAAGAGTAAGAAGATGATGATGATGTTATGCAATATCTTCACTCTGAATTGTTTTTTTTTTCTTTTTTTAATATTAGTATTATTTTGAACTACAAAGTATCTGACTTCAATATCAATATTAGTAAATTTTTAGGTAAATTTGTAAACCTCTCCTATAAATTGCTGTAAGAAACGGTCCTGAGCCACTTCCACCTATTGACTTCCTGCAGTACCTACATTTGAAATCGTCACTTCGTATAGTAAATATTAATAATATTACCTGTAATCTAATTATATTACTCAAACATATCTAAATGGCTAGAAGCGCTTGAATGAAATTTGGAACATGTACGTAAATAGGCCATATCCCGGAATCTGGAATATAAGTTATTAAATAAATTAATATACGTGGGAAAACCCGCAGTATACAACTAGTAATGAGTGAAACTACAAACATCCAAAACAAAACAAAGTCTCAATGGCACTACGGTTAAGTTTAGTACAAGTGGCTGCACCCACTCGATCCCCTAAGTCCGGGCTTAGTGGCGCCCGTCTTGTTAGCGGTGAAAATGTCATTACCGGATATGTCCGGGAAATCCTTCATTAGAAACGAATATACGACTAATTATGGCGTAAATAACGATGATTTAAGCTTGTATTATTATTAAAGATAATAAGAAATGATTTTAACAATTCTGTCTTTAAAAATGTCTCTCTGATATCTATTTAAGATTTTAATGTTTCGAGAGAAAAAGTGATAAATTAAACATGCTCATGATTTTATTCCCTGATATGGATATGCGACGTTAGTGAATATTTTGCACTAGACCAGTTGTAAGTGTTATTATTTACTGGAAATATATATATATATATATATATAGTTTGTTATATATTGTAGTATATAACAAAGTGGCAACACGCCCCAGCTCCGCACGGACAGGTAAGTAGATAAACTCATTTTTTTTAATAAAATATAACATCTCTTCATTATCTTCATATCAACCTTTAACTTTTCACTGCTAAACGTAAGCCTTCCCTTGAGGGATTTTGCCAGTAGTTGCCACGCTTGGCAGGCGGATTATAATCCTTTTTAGTCTTTTATAATGTAACTTTCTATAGGTGAAAATGTTTTTAAAATAGGTAAAGTGTTTTTATTATTTATCCATTATAAACATAAAACCAAATGTTCCCCCTTTACAATACTTATTACTTTAGATTTTTCACATAAAACAACAGACTTTATTTTTCATAAGACTACCTTGAAACACAATTTTCGAATAAAAAAAAAAACATATCTTTAAAGTTCAGCTAAAAACTTTCAGGTATATACATCTATACATACCTGAAAGTTTTTAGTTATTAAGGTGATTAGCACACCTGCAATGCCGTTGGTGTTATGGGTGATTATAGGCGACAGTAGTCACTTGCCATCAGATAAGCCGCATGCTCGTTTGCCTCCTGTGTTGTAAAAAAATATAACCTTTTTAAAGTCAATAAACATGCCCGTAAAATATAGGTACTTATATAATATATCTACTAAGAAATATGATTGACAGATATCCATGCATCACTACAAAAAGATTTGGGCACGACGTACCCCATCTAAAAACAATTTGTAGTATGCCTACCGACGAAGAAAATAGGCACTTTAT